CAATTTCTGCTTAGTACACCTTTTTCCACTGGTATCTGTCTTATTCCTTTTCCGTATAAAAACTAAAAAGGACACCGGTTATTTTTCCAGAAAGTTTCCACTTTTATGCCAATTATACCCTAAGTTAAAATTTCAGATTTCACCCAATTTCCATATCACAGTAAAAGTGTAGTTGTACTATAGGCAGCAAAATTTTTGTCTGTACCTTTTCTTTAACTCTACTTTTCACACCAATACATAGCCAAGGTCATGGGCCATTGATTTTTTCTTTGTGCCTGTTAATTATTTTCACACAAAGAGTATTTTCTTTAAATATTACTCCTAGCATATATTAATCTAGGAAAAATATATAATAGACAGTGTGTAAGCTTAGCCAAGCACTTTTCACCGGGACACACTTGGTAAATTCTTAAAAAAATTCAGAGAAAAACTTTACATATATGACTAATAGGTGGCTTTGAATGATATACAATGTGTACACTAAGCCTCAATGGAGAATGACAGACAATAATGCTATCGAAGCTCGGGAGATTGTGATTAAGGTCTCGTTAAAATATATATTTGTCCATAAAATTTTGCAAGTTTTTAGAAAATTTTTTAAAATAAGTTTTTCAAAAACCAAAAAGTGATTTGGCCAGTTCTTCAAAATTTTCAAAAGAACTTTTTTCCTCACTCACAAAACTAAATTGTAACATTTTGTCAAGTGTAATGTTTGTCCAAACATAACCTCAAATTCCAATACTACTATTTTTCAACTTAATTCCAAATACTATTTTGTTTCAAAAATTATAAGTTTTATGTCCAAAGTCCTACTAAATAAATTTGAGTTCGAATTAGGATTATATTTTGTTAATTACTGTATTTTGACTTAGAACTTTTCCATCTAATATTTGTGTGAAGAACTCAAGAGAAAAGACAATTTTAACCTGGAGGAAGAGGGGGTAACAAAGAGAATGTTGCATTTGGGTGACTTTCTCATGATTCTGTGAGTACTAATCTCGAGTAATTTTTTAATCCTTTTTAAAAGTGATAAAAGTTTCCACTCATGAGAATTGCATAGACATGAGATATTAATAAAATATTAATAATTTGATGTCTTTTTATCAATTATAGTAACTTAAAAACATATTGACTCAAAACAAATACAACCAAAGTTGCTCACTTTGAAAACTTTTCGGATTTTTCTTACTAGAATACTTTACGTAAGTTGCCAGTACATTCCAAAATGTTTTTGGCTAAAACTGATCCCTTTAGTTCCGATGGAAAAAGAAAAAGAAAACCCTGATCCATTTTTCCCCACTAGAAACTTGTGCTCTATATATTCTCTCAGCTGTCTCTTAGTTTCTTCACCATCTTCCATGGTTTTTCACTAATTTTCTGACTTCAACACTTTTTGTTTTCTTCTTCTAAATAGCAATATTGTATAACAGCCTTTTCAGTTCTCAAAATGCAAGTAGATCCTGAGAATCATCATTCATTTCGCAAGCATTTACGTAATGAAGGTTTTATGGATAAAATTGTAAGTTTCTTTTTCAAGTTTTATCTGCGTTCTTTTTTTTTTTTTTTGGTTTTCAAACTTAGTTTTGCTGAACTTGAAGATATGATTTTGTTAGCAAATGCCACCTACTTTTGTGAAAGAAAACAAGAAGAAGTTGGGCAAGACCTGCCTACTGAAAACTGATGTAGATGATATGTTTTGGGAAGTAAAAATAGTGAGGGAGAATTCAGATTACTTCATCTGTGGTGGAGACTGGCCACATTTTGTTGGATATCACAAGCTGAAGGTAGGGGAAATCTTGATATTCTATCTCATTGACAAGTCGACGTTCCAAGTCGTGCCCTACATCCAGAAAAGTTGTAAAAATCTTCGTGGAGGGAAACCATTTGAGGAACTCAGCAGCTCCGAAAATGAAGAGGATGCTGGACCTTCAAGAAGAGCGAAGAAAGTAAAAATGGATCCCATAGTATTATCAGATTCTGAGGAAGAAAACATTGATCCGTCCGGTGGTGGAAATTCAAGCTATTCACTTCCAGGTAACATCGATCGACCTCTTTATACATTTGGTACATTTAATTGTTTAGAGAATCTTGACAGACACAATGAAAACAAATGGATGTTTATAGATCATACCAACTAATTGGGGTTAAGTCCTAATCAGTGCTATTAAAACCTCGCTTAAAGCCTGGTTAAGCCCTGAAGTTCGGTGAAGGTGACAGGTTATAAGCTTCGCCTCGCTTAATTGGCACTTTAGTATAGGCGTCACCATGACAGTAGCATATCCGTAACAGTTTGCTAATTTATTTATTTGGATTCATATATACTAATCGATCTATCTTGAAGAAAGCAAGGGATAGATTATTTTAATGTTATTTCTTTTTTGCCTTATTATTGATTTGGGTGTGTAGATGTTGGGTAGTATCAAGAAATCTGAAATTATTGTTGACTACTATGTACTCTTTAAAAATATTATCAGATGTAATATTTTGGAGACAACTTTAATATATTGCTGATGATGGCTATGAAAAGGAAAATTGGGTTGCAGCACAAAGTATAATGCATAAAATGATAGAATTGATGCAAGAAACATTTCAAACATACTTCTATTAGTCTCTTTTCCGCTAAAAGATCTTCCTATGATTGACTTTTGCTCACATACAACAGAGAAGTCCCTACTAAGTCTGAACCTGGCGTATACCATTTTAAACTAACTTACTGTTTGAATGACTTTACTCCTTTAAAAAAAAATAATGAAATGTTAAACTTGTGTCGTTTAGATATGCGGACTGGGGCGGAGCGGGTTGAAATTTTGCGTGTTTTTGTCCCAACACGCCCCGTTGCCATCCCTATTCTTATCCCCTCCTTTAAGCCCATATAAACTCAGCTTTCCACGCCACACCAAATCTAAGGCATATCTCTTTGTTTTTCTCAACCCTGGAGGTTTCATCATGAAAGGAGGTAAATTCGACGCCAAAGCCAATAGCATGCTCGGCCTGAGAAAGAAAGCTCCCGAGACTAAAAAAGCAAAGAAGGCTGCCAAGGATCCTAACAAACCCAAGAGGCCTGCATCTGCTTTCTTAATTTTCTTGAAGGAGATAGGGAAGCAGTTCAAGAAGGAGAATCGAGGCATTAAATCTGTGGTTGCTTTCGGTAGAGCTGGTGGAGACAAGTGGAAACAAATGTCAGATGCTGAGAAAGCTCCTTACATGGCAGAGGCAAAGAAAAGGATGAAGGAATATAAAAAGAACAAGAATTAATGCTTATAACAGGCGAGTAGCTGCTGGATCTGCAGAAGAAGTGGAATCTAACAAGCCAATGTCCGAGTTTGATGAGGAAGAGGAAGAGGGGGATGACGACTGAAGAAGTTTATAGTAAATGAGGAAATTGGTGAGGAAACTTGTGGATTATCTTCCACGTATGACTTCTTCTTGTTCCTGAATACTTGCATCAATCTTTTTATATATACTTTTTATTTTAATGCTGCTTAATCTTAATTCAGCATATCAATCTTGCAACTTTGAAGCAAAATTTTCTGTAAAAAGTAAAAAGTCTGTCTTTTGATATATTTCGTATCACTTTTCTATCGCAAATAAATTCGAGGGACTTCTTAGACTTGAGTATTCTGAAGATATAACCAGTATTTATCAGTATAGGAAAGCTTCAGCTTCCTCATGAAGTACAAGGTACTTATATGAAAAATATATTTTGGTGCCCAAGTAGTCCAAAAAGGAACAGGTTTGGACCACTACTGAGAAGATCAAATACCAAAATCAAAATACACATTTGAAAACCAAGTACATAAGTAAATTCAAAGCCAACGGAACCAAATACAGTGATTCATGAATCAGGATTTCACTTTATATCTCAACGGGTGTAGCAGCAAGTAGTATTAGTTAGCAATCCAGGTAGTTGAAGGTCTCACAATTCACAAATATTCCTCTGCTTCTTCTGCTTTTGTTTATAGGTGATAGGAACCTCAGTATTTTCATGACTTAATTTCAGGTGCGGTCGGACCTATTTTTTCATTTTAAATTTTGTGATTACATTGGGAGATATGAAATTAGCACCCAATCTCAAAAGGTAGCAAATCGCAGTTGACTACTCATGAGTCATGACCTAAAAATTCTGAGTCCGCCCCCTGCCGTCTCGATACTACTCTTTATTTTAATATTTACGGAATTTTTTGCTTAAAAGTTAGGAAGATTAATTAATATGCTCAAACAAAAGCAGTTACTGTTCTAAAATTGGGTGCCTTCACAAGGTACTCAACTGAGACAGACATAAATAGAGCAAGATGAACATGAATTCATATCTCAACTTGCTTTGAATTGAGACCTAATTATCCTTCTTCCTTGCACTATTTTGAGAAGTTACTTGTTAGCAAGAACTTGTTGAGCGGACAACAGCACAAGATGTTTGGTTTCTTCCATTAGTTGGAATAAATCTGCTTCAATTTCGAAAATGTAAATGTTCGATGTTCTACACGAAGGACAATACTAAATTTATCATTTTGGTTAAAAAATCTAAAAATGGCTGTAGAGTTGCAAATAATTATCTTAGTGGCCAATAAAAATTGTCTAAGCAACAAACTCTATATATAATGCATAAAGCATATTAAAAACTATGAAGATGCATAGACATTAACACGCATATCCTGTTAATTCATTCAGAATAGGAACAACAAGCAGTTAGGAATAGGAAAAGAACCAATACAGTATTAAAAGTTAATTCAGTGTATCAGTTGGTTCTTTCCAAATTTCACATTGAACCATGTATCCGTTAATTAATTCCAAATTTCACATTGAACAATGTAATAGCACGTGAATGAAAAAATGAGGGGAAACCAAAAATAAATATGACAAAAAGTGTGATATTTAGGATGGAGAATTCAATACAAATTACTTGAGCTAGCTAATCTTAGAAACCTCCATTCAAGTTTTACTGGGTAATACTAGTTTCAGTTTAAACTACTTATCAGTAATGAAGAGTAATTACTGTTTGGTCAATCAGTTTCACGCATTGGCGTGCTCCCAGCTGCACGAAATATGGTGACATCTATAAAAAGCGGATTGCCTTCAATGACTTCAAATACACAAGCATCACCTAATTTTAACTTATTGTCCAGAACGAACTCCCTCCAACCACCTTTGATTTTAGCTTGTACTTGTCCAAGAGAGCATTTTACAGGCCAAGATCCCCTACCTGGAACACGAAGCACTAAGTTGCTGCAGTTCTCCCCGAAATATTTCCTAGCAAAGGTCAACCTTACGTACTGCCAAAAGAGATAAATTGAGTTTGAATAAATATGAGAGTATTGCAAAGTCTACGGATCAGTGACAGATTATAGCTTACCAGAATACCCGACGTATACGTAGGTTGCATAAGAGATATAAAGAATGGATTCTTAGACTTAAAAGCTTTTGCTCTTTGATATGCTATAGCCCACTCTTTGTATATTAATTTGGGCATTACCGTCTTCTTCACATCATAAACAGTCTTGGATTGTTGCTCAAACATAGTATTGCAGCCTTCAACATAAAGTTAAGATCATTGTGTTAATACATATTTATCATGTAAAAAGATGAGTGATTTCAGTTGTGTTCATATATAGTCAATAAGCCTTATAAAATACCAACTTTGGCCCTTTCTTGTGAAAGAATCTAAAGCGGCTTCCTCTGCATTTCCTTGTCTTTTTCTTTTGTTGGACTGTCCTACTGGACCATGGCCAACAGAATGCTCAACCATGTCTGGAATTTTTGCTAGGATCTCGAGAGAATGATCAGACTCGGCGGTGCATGTACGATGGGCTATCAAGAAAAATATGTTAGCAAGTCGGGTACCGAAGTCAAATAATGTTTAATTATTATATTATCACAACATTCTATTTCTTTTTTTGTTCCCAAATGCATGATTTTTTCTACACCAATAGTTCATGGAATACATCCTACCTTTCAATATAACACACACACACACACACTAATTTTCATTTTTCCCACAAAAACAACCTCAGCAAAACTTCCTAAGTTTAAACGACCTTTATTTGGCAGTAAATTTTAACAAACCTTTAATTTGTTGCAAACACACTCTTTTCATACCAAAAATCCAAATATCAATCTACATTCAGTTTTCAAAATGAAATGTACGCATTTGAAAAAGTAACTGACTACTTAATCCTTTCAAGACCAAACACAATTAAATCTTGACACCTTCCTAACGTGATATTCAATAGGTTTACAAGAAAGATACCGAAATTATCAAATCATCAACACGAGCGTTAGCGCCCCTAGCAGGGAATCCCCAACAGTCTAAATAGTGATGTTTTAGTTTATTTCAAAATGGAACCAAAAGAAAATAAGTGCATGCATTATAGTATTGTTATTGCAAGGAACGAACTGCATAAAGAAATTAAAATGTGGTGTTTTTAATTTCTTTTATCTGTTTTCCTATGGCTTCGAGCCTCTTGCATTGTTTACTTATGTCTCCCATCCTGGTAAAGGTGGAGAAATAACACATAAGGAGATAAACCATAATTGCTGGTGCACCGGAGCTTCATAAGAAACAGCTGATGATGCCATGATCCCCATATCAGACCTTTTCCTATAGATATTAACAGGAAGTTGGACAGGTTCTGCATACACCGAAATGTCCATACAGAGAAAATTTGCATGATTCCCAACCTATCTATTTTCTCCCATTTTGGAGAAAGGAAATAGCAGAATACCAGTCAAATATATATGAGAACTTGCAAACATAATTGGACTTCTTCTGGTACTACTTCCCACATGTACAAAACTTGCAAACCTGACCGTTCTACCAAATGATGTTTCTCCCACATGTACAAAACTTATCTATTTCCTCAAAAAGTTAAGATCAAGTATCAGACTCCAAAATGACATCAACGCTGAAGATTATGTAGGAAAACCGAGGTAACTGATATATCATACACTTAACTAATCATAACAAATAATGGTGACATTTATCAAGTAATCAACAAGAGCGACAGCCCCACTAGCAAGAACTCCCCATCAGTCTAAATTGTGATGTTCTAATTTTTTTTAAAAACTTGCATGCAAAATATGAACCAAAAGAAAATATGTGTTACCTGATGACTCGTTTTGCTTTGTTTTAACTTTCGTGGCGTGTTCCTCTTCCTCGGAACTACTGAGTTCATCAAAAGGGGGAAGGTTTCTACAACATTTCTTTGTGTAGGGCTGGACATGGAACATCGATTTATCAATGAGATAGAAGAACAAGATGTCCCCTAGCTCCAGCTTGTGATACTCCACAAACTGTGGCCACTCTCCTTCACATATGTTGTACTTACTAGACCTTTCCTCCCTCACTATCTTTGCTTCCCACAAAGTCCCTGCTTCATCCGTTTTCAGTAAGCATTGCTTCGCTAACATCTTCTTGTTCTCTTTCACGAAAGCCACCGGCATTTGCTAACAAAAGCAGATCATCAAAACAAACATTAACAAAATAGGAATACAGATAAACAAAAAGATAAGAAAAAAACTTACTATTCTATCCATAAACCCTTCATTAAGTAAATGAATGCGAAAGGAAGGATGTGTGTCCGGATCCACTTGCATTTTGAGACTTGTAAGAGACAGACAGAAGAAGGCGAGGATTGCTAGTGGAGAAAGAAGCTAAGGAAGGAGAAACAACAAGGCCAAAATTGAAGAGCAACTTCAAGAATAAATGGTAATGTTCCTAATGTGATCCGTTTTTACTTTGATACCTCACCCCAATTTCTGCTTACTACTGCAGCAGCTACGTGATTCCTTTTCCGTGTAAAAGGGCCATGAATATTTTTCCAGAAAATTTCCACTTTAATGCCAATTATACCCTTTGTGAAAAGTGGGACAAATTTTCAATTTCATTATACCCTTCCTAGTCATAACTCATATCACAATGTAGCTGTACTATCCGCAGCTAAAAATGCGTGTATACCTTCTTTCACTATATATTTTCACACCTATACATAGCCAAGATAATGGGCATTTTACCATTCAAAACATGTGGTGCGGCGGATGAGGCTATTCTTCCCTTAACTGTAGGTCTTGGGTTCGAGCTTTTAGTATGAAAAAATTCTTGGTAGGGAGCGCTTCCCTCCGAATGGGGCCCTACGAGGCACGAATTCGGATATAGTCGGACTCCAATACGAGTACTGGACACCGTATGAGAAACCAAAAAAAAAATATCATAGGCAATTTCTTTCTCATAACAAGTGTGTGTGTATATATATATACATATACATATATATATATATATATATATATATATATATATTAAAGCACGAATGCCATTAGCGAAATATCGTTCGTCTTTTTTACCCTTTAAAAACATATTTCACACTAGACAAAATAGTAATTAACTATTCCCTATTATTTATGAATAATTATTTAATTATTTCACTAATATTTAGTACTTAGAAATCAACTAAACTTTATGTTTTGAATCTTTCTTTACTTAAAATAGGTAAGACAACATATTTGTAGAAGGAAAGTAACCGCCGAAAGAATTGAAGTAGGAATTAAAGTTCCGCATACTTAGAACTCTTTTTAGGTTATTCTATGTAGTGATGCATAACCAATTATTTTTTATAATTTTATTATTTTAGTAAAAAGCAATTTAATCGACATAGAATAAATAGAAAATTACACATAAAGTCTCGTGAACATAGAACTCCTTCTAAGTTTTTATTCTAATGTGATCCATTAGTACTCTTTTAATGTGACTATTTCAAAGGGTATTTACAATTCACCTTGCAACAAATAACCTTAAAAAAATTAAAGGCTTAAAATATCCGTACAACTTAAAGTGTACACGTACATTTGAAATTTACTAATTAAAATATGTCATAATTTTAAATCTAAAAATACTGAAGTTTGTATATATCTGCCACTAAGTTTACAAAAGTTTTTTTTTACAAATATCTATAAATATTTATGAGTAAAACAAATATCTGTAGATAGAACTGACAGGACTATATTTTAAACTATAATTCACAGTTATAATAAACAATATAATATTTTGTAAATTTTTGTTGTAAACATATACATATTAAAGCACAAACCCAATTTGATAGGTGAAACATAGACAAGATACTAAAATGTATGTACCATAATAAATTGTCGTATTTCTTATAAGAAATTTAAGGTAACTATAAGTTTTTTATCCTATCTATACCATATTAAAAGCACAGAGGCCCTTAGCTAAATTTGCTTCGCCATTTTCCCCCTTTAAACATAGAGTTTACACCGGATAAAAGTCATTTAATAATTTTTTTCTAAATCCTTGCTTATTTGAATTATGTAAAAAAAAGTCCTACAATTTAGGACTTTAAAATCAATTAAAATTTTAATTTATAAATATTCTTTTCTTATTTAAAGTATGTTATCACAAACTATATTTACGAATCCTCATATTAAGACTTTGAAGTCAATTAAGATATTTATTAAACAGAAGCTTTATCTATTGTATATTTATATTTTTCAATATTAGGAATACAATTATATTCCTTAACAAAATAATATCTTGACATACAATATTTTAGAGCAAAAATTAAAGTCCAAAAAAGTCATACAAAATCTAAAAGGACTTACATAATCCGAAAGTATTCCTACTCAATCTTTTTTTAAGAACTTTTTTTGTTCTAGAATTATCCAAATTCTAGATAAATCAATATATATATATATATATATATATATATATATATATATATATATATATATATATATATATATATATATATATATATATATATATATCATAACGAAATTCATAGGTACATTTTTGGTTGGATAAAATTGTAAATACAAATACAGTTTAATTTTTACAAAACCTTAAATTTCCATATGGCAAAAAAAAAAAAGAAAAGAATAAGTTGAAACTCCTTCAATAATTATATCCCTAACAAAGAGCGATTGTCATTGGTTTAAAAAGGGAAAAGAAATTAGTTAATATTCCTATTAAGGAAAGTCAAAATTGTCGTAGGTTCAAAAGGTAAAAAAGAATAAGAGACCAAGAAGAAAACTTAAATGTAACATATTTATCAAATATCTTTATAGAAAACAACTTCTTAAATTAGAATTTTAAAAGCGTTATCTGCTGAAGTTACGAAGGAAGAATGATAAATTTTGAATTTAAGTGATGAAATCATAAAACTAGAACAACTTTTTAATTGAATACATTGACGAATTATTGAGAACTTCTTTTTTTTATTTTATATAAAATAAAAAAATCAGCAGCAGTTTCTTTTTTTATTGAGTTAAGTACATAGGATCAACATTTATCATTTTCAGGAATATAAACTTTTATTTTATAGTTCAGACACAATATTTCAATATAATATCTATACGACTTTTTAGAATTCTTTTATCCATATAAATAGTGTACACGCGCAACGTGCGTATCGTAAGAGAGAGAGTGTACAAGCGTTAAGTATTAAATTAGAAATTAAAATCACTTATTTTGCACAAAATAATTTTTTTTTTTAAAACTCCATGTTCACCCAAAGAGAATACTATTTTCTTTTAGTACTCCTAGTATATATATGTTAATCTAGGAAAAATATATGATACAAATTTTTTCCTAATATTACATACTAACCGTAAAACAAAGAAAAGTATATTTATTTTCGGTATATTATATTAGAATTAATTATGCCAATACAATCAACCAAACGAACATAGTAATCCTTTTCTTCTCATAAAAAACTAGCTCAACAAAAATGTGCTTTCAATTTATATCAATAATCTGAATTGATGCTAAAAATGAATCAACTTAATTTTATATAAAATGGAAAAAAAGTAATGAGGGAAATACATGTGGGGTCCATCCCCATTAAATAATAAAAAAAGGGGCAAGAAATAATGATGCCAAATCCAGATTTGGTTGAGGGAAATCTACAAGATTTCAATTGGAGATGGTGGGCGTCAAAATATTGCAAATTGTTAACCAATCTTCATTCCGATTGGTCCAAATGGGAGGTGTCATCGCTTATATAAGGAGAGCTCACACCAATCTCAGACCAAAATATATGTGAGAGTTATAGTGCAGCGTGAGATATTCACAGACAGTGTAGTCTGTGTGGGAAAATAGAGAGGTGGAACTTAAAAAGAGGGTTATTTCTTTTAAGTGTATAGTGGCCCCTGGAGTATTTTACTCGGACTACTGGGCGTAAATTCCTTATTATAGTGGATTACTTTGCTCCTCTCGGACTCGTTGTTTTTTCCCTTATTTAGAAGGGTTTTCCACATTTAAAGTCTTTGTGTCCTTGTTGTTCTTTTTTATTCTTGTTGATTACTGTATCTCGGTACTACATTATTGTTTCGCTATTATTACCTTGAATATTATTTCTGTGTGTGGGGAGGGGGGGTGTTTATTCCCAACAACTGGTATCAGAACATAGGTTCTGCTCGTTCACAGAAATACTGTTCACGTTCGGTAGTACTGTACTCAGTGAATAAAATGCGCGGAGTAAAGTACGAGGTAGTAAAATCAATGGAGATAGCGGTTTCTCAATATGGCAAAGAAGGATGAGGGATCTGCTCATCCAACTAGGATTACCATGAAAGCTGAGGATTGGGCTTACTTGGATGAAAAGGCTCCTAGTGCAATCAGGTTGCACTTTTCAGATGATGTGGTAAACAACATCATCGACGGCAAACATTACCTTTGCGGCGGGCTGCTCCCCGTAGATCGTTTTAATTCCTTCTAGCGTTAGGAATTTTAACACCAGGTGAAGGATCGAGGGCACAACTCTCATGTAGATCCACGGTCTCCCGAACGGAGCGTTATACCTCATGTCCCCTTCGATCACATAAAACTTGGTCTCCTGGGTGGTTCCAACTGCGTTTACCGGTAACGTTATTTCTCCCTTAGTAGTTTCACAAGTCATGTTGCCATTCAGCACTCGGGCAGCAGGCACGATTTGGTCCTGTAGGCCGAGTTTTTCTACGACCCTCGATCGAATGATGTTGGCCAAGCTACCTAGATCAATTAACACACGTTTAACTCGAGTTTTATTCATGAGTACAGATATTACCGGTGCATCATTATGGGGCTGCATGATTCCTTCTGCATCCTCGTCGTTGAAAGATAAAGTTCCTTCTAGTATGTAATCTCGAGTCCATTTCTCCCTCGTGATTGATACTTTGGTGCGCTTTAACATCGGACCTTGAGGAACATCAACCCCCCCAATGATCATATGAATGACGTGTTGAGGTTCCTCTTGCTCGTTTTGTTTATTGGAATCCCTATTTCTGAAATGATTCTTGGCTCGGTCACTCAGAAATTCCCGAAGATGTCTGTTGTCGAATAACCGGGCTACTTCTTCTCTCAATTGTCGACAATCTTTCGTTCTGTGGCCATGAGTTCCATGATATTTGCACATTTGGTTGGGATCACTTTGGGCTGGATCGCTTGTAAAGGT